GGCACTCAGAGATACTTTTCACTAACACACAAATAGTTTCACTTTTGTTAAGTTACCCTGCAGCACAGATTCTTCCTTGCCTACTGTCTTCTTAAAGACTTTCCTCCACACATTGTTTGCCACATGCAAGGCTTTCATGTGTTGACATCTTACTATAGATTTGTGTTTTACTCCAAGACATTCACAGCTGTGTCAAGGGCAGTACAGTCATAATACTATTTAGGCTTGGTAATCTTGGTTCCTGATAATTGCTCTGGCTGGGCAAGGGCAGTTTCTTCAGTGATGAACACAACTGCACCGTGTGTGCTGGGCTGCTCACCTCCAGGCTTGAGTAGCTGCCTCTGGCTAGCCAGCAGCAATACTCTCCTTTTGTACCCAAATATGCATGAAGCCTAAGGCAAGAGCAGATGGCAGTCTGGAGTCCACTGTGTGGACAGACTCTGGTGAAACATTCAGAACAGGCCAAGAGGCATGCATGGGTGTTGCTCTAAAGGAACCACATAAATGCTCAGTGTCTGAAATGCTGGTCTTGCAGAGAATGCCATGCACTAGAGAATTGCAATCTTCAACCCCAGTGTGCCCAATTACCTACTGAAAGATGAGCCCTGAATGCTCAGCCCAGGCACGCTGTTGGAAGGTGAATCCTGCAGTAACATCTTTACCAACTTTGAATTTTAGATAGGAAGTTCAGGTGCTCCAAGAGGTCAAGGACCTGCAAAACCTCCAGAGCTTCCTCTGAGCCACTGGGCTCTCCCTGCCTGTGCAGGGAGGTCAGTGTGAGTGAGGGGTGTGCAGTTGCATTGCTGCCGCCCTACGTTCCAGGGGGATTTTGCACCTCACTGGCTCATGCTGCAGTCTTGCCTGCTGAGGTAAATGTGAACTGACACATTGGAGGTCTAGATCAACATCCCTCTCATTAAACAAAATACAGCCTAATCCTAGTATTGTTCTTGATAGCAAGAAAAACAGAAGAAAGTATCTATGTTAATATTAATGACGAGCCTGCAATTTTCCTTGCTGCTAATGCACAGTGTCAGATTCACACACTGGGGAATCCAGGGATCAGTTCCTTTGGCATCCATTTGGCTTCTGTTCTGATCTTACCCACGTTTATTAGCAGCGCATCATTGGAACGCAGCAGCAATTAACCCTCTTGGTAAAACAAGTGAGCCTGAGTACCAAGAGTTGTCTGGGTAATGAGTCTTGGCCACCATTTGCACCTTGTTTGGGTGCAAGATGCGTCAGACCACATCAGTACAGGATAAGCTAAGGAAATCCTGATGAGATATCACTTGCTTGGCCCTGTTCTTCCTTGCCTGGACGCCCTGTGCTCCCAACTTTACGCCAAATGTTAGAGACATATGTGTACCTACATCTATCCCAGAAGCAGACTGTTATTTAAAAAAAAACATGTTGAAGTGTTAATTGGCATTGTTTTCTTAGAATCATTTGAAAGTGTTTGAAATGGGTTTTCCCAGTAGAAAAAACCCTATTTGATCAAAAATCAGTATTTTCTTTCAAATGGTACCATTTCCTGCGAGAGGAAAGCTCTGCATTCCAGCCCATCCTAATCCTTTCCATCTTTCTATGTTATAACTAAGAGACTGTCCCTTTCCTATTACCCCCTTTGTCACGAAGAGATTGAATGTCCTCTTCAAAAAAATCTCTTTGTTGTTCCCTGTATATTTCTCAGTCACATTACATATTCCTTCCACACAGCTGCACAAACGTGTTCCAGCTGCATCCCAGCCCTGGTCTCCAGCTTTATATTCAGGAGCTGTTATGCAAGAATCACCATCTGACACACACACACACCCCCTCCCAACAGCAAGTACTTGCTAGACTGATAAAAAGTGGGATGTTTGTTTTTAAAGGGGAATAGAACACATCAGTTTTACATGGAATTTAATTATATAACTGCATGTGCTGGAAAAAATAAACCTTTCTCCCATTTACACTTAAGCCTGCTTTCTGTGAGACAAGGCTTATACAAACCTGAAACATGCTTTGACTATTCCCAAGATAGCTAATTTTGGTCAAATGTGGCAGAGATTGATTTCATGTTTAATGAGACTAGTGATTGCATAGAGCTCCATTGCTGTTCCTGGAGAAAGAGGGACCTCCATCAGACAGTCTGTCTGTAAGAGACACAGTAGAACCAGGCTTCTCCAGGTCAATGGGATTTTTAACTTGACATCAAATCAAATTGATGAGAACATCTAACCATATACAGCTGTCTTTCAAAGTCTGTAGCCATACAACAACTATAAATATTCTAATTATTAGTGCTGAACCAAGAATTTCTAATTGGTTGAAGAAATGTCAGTACTATTAACCTCCCACCACTGGTGGGATCTCTGGTACAAGTGCAATGCAGAACCTGACTGGAAACTCCAAGAACTTTTAACATTTTCCTCCAAGAACTAGGTGTAATCTTGCTGCAGGTTAAGGTGCTGCTTCCTGCCTTATGCCACTGAGGAAGGAAAGAAATAAAAATCCCATCTCTTCCATATCAGCCTCTCTCTTCAGCCTTCTCTTCTAGAAGGGCCAGAATGTCTGTTAATTCTTATAGTCTCTTATTTCTTTAGCCTTTTTCCTTTGGTGCATCTCTAATGTGCCTATTTCTCAAAGTAAAGGGTCTGAGGCTGGATGGAGTACTCCTTCTGAGGCTTACTTCTTTCTTGTACACAACACAAGTGAAATTCCCCTACTCCCAAGCGTTGTCTTAACTCTTACTTGTGTTGTAACCCATAACAGCTCCTCAAATTCTTTGCTCTTTAATGAAATATTCTTTGTCTTTTGTGCAGTTTGACTTACTAATCAGCTATTGCAAGTATTTCAGAGACTGAGAGTTATAATGTATCTCCTTATGCAAGTCTTATTTAAAAAATGTAGATGGATGCCTCAATTGTGTGGTCTAGAATTCTTTCTGTGGAATAAACCATAACCCCAGTAGCACATGTTGTGGAGATCTTTCCTGAACTGTGACTAAGTCATGACAAAGATGCCTTAAAATTAGCATCTTGATTTTCCACTGTGTTGAGCACTGGATTCTAAAAGTCTGAGGAGGCTTGTTTTCAACTTGCTCCTTTGTTGTGCAAATAGTCTCTTAACAGTCAACAGGATCTCCTGGGAGATAGGAAATCCACAGGCTTTCTAAAATAAGCAGTTTTTATTCAGAGCAGAGGATGTGGCAGAGCTGGGTAGAGTCTTACATGAGAGAAGTGATTTAGGGGGGTCATATGGTGTTTGGTGGAGGGGTGTTTGTAGTGAGATGTGTGTTGGGGAAGCAGGTTCAAAATGCTGATGGGGATAAAATAAATGGTTTGTTAATCTCTCCACCATGAAGATTGCTGTGATTTAAGGGCTTTTCTATTCACTCCATTCCCCAGACTGAGGAAAAGGGGAGAGCTTTCTGTAGCTTGTGCTATGCTTGTACTGCAGTGGTGTAATTTAAACAAATACTTTTAAATGGCAAAAACCTCTGCACGGATATGTTTAAATTGATTGTGTGGTTTATGTTGATTTTAAGTCAGTTCCTTCACTGTAGAACCCTTGCTGTAAAAAGCCAGCAAATAAAAACGAGATTAATTACTATGTGCCAGTTTTCAACTATAGCCCATGTTAGTGGATTGCATCTCCTGTATCCAAAGCATTCTGAAAATAATGAAAATCCTGATAAAAATCAAATCCTGAAATAAAATCTGTACAAACAACCTTTCCAGGGCATGTTCCCTATGTCAAAGCATTAAAAACAAACTCAAGGGGTAGCTCCATCTGTAAGGAGAGGAGCTCTTATTTGTAATATTGATGAATCTTTTCTTTAGTGATCAGTTGAAAGCAGGTGTCATGATCCAAAGCATTTAGTCACAGATCTTACTATACTTGTTAGTGGTAACTTGGAAAAACTTAGACTGTATTTCCAATGAACTTCTCAACCTATTTTTTCTGCTGGGTACAAATAATCACTGGTTATTCGCAGCTTGCTTACATAACAAGAAAAACATTTCCAAACCAAACTCTTTCTTCTCTCAAAACATCTGATGTAATTCCCAGAAACTGATGTACCACGTTGGAAATCAGATCCTGAGACACCACAGATGCTCTTACGAATGTGCTTTATTTTATGGCAGCCATTTTGCTTCTTTTGCATAGAATAATATCTCCATTTGAGAGGTCCTTTTCCCTGCCTAGAGTTACTAGGATGTTCTCCACTGAGGTTTCCATTACACCTCCAGAAGGATTGTTACACTGTACAGTTTCACTTTCAGGATTTTTTTCTTTTATTATGGCTGGAACCGTTTTTCCTAATTTACTGTGCTAAGTTTTGAATCCATATCCCCTCAGGTCACCAGAAACCACATATCTAACTTTCCTTCTATCAGTGTGTGACTCCATGTTTCCCCAGCCTCATGGCTGTTGATCATACAACCTTCTTAATCCTGCTTTCCCCTGGTTTGTCTTCTTAAATGATTTTACTTGGTCCTTGTATTTCTGATATTCTCCTCTGAGCTATTTCCCAGCAGTTTCCTGATTGCGAGGTGATTAGAGCCAGAGAAGTCTCATTAAGAAAAGCTCAATAACAAACTGTTCTATCTGTGTCATTGGGAAGTACTCATGTATGAGACCAACACAGGTGCAGGACTGTGAGCAGAGTCCTATGTATGTTCTTCTGGCAGGATTTGGGCCCTATGGACTGTTAGCAAAATGGTTTTAAACTTTGCAAGGTAGACTATCAGAAAAGTTTGGTTTTGTTTTGGATTTTTTAGGGTGGGGGGAGGGGTTGTGTGCTTGTTTTTGGTTTTGGTTTGGGTGTTTTGTTGTTTTGTTTTTTTTTTTTTAATAGAAAAAAAAATCTTCTTTTATCTTGTAGGTCTTAAAACTGAGTGGTGAAATTTCCTGTGAAAATGCTTAGATATTATCAAGAAATAAAACTCTAGCAAAATGAATTTCCTAAAAAGAAACAGAGAAAAAGGAGTAAAACACAGAAGAGTTGCAGGCTGGTTTTAATGTTTCTTGCTTAGTTCTATTGCAACAGTGTTTCCTGTCTTTTCTAAGAGATGCAAATTTCTACTCTGAGCATTCAGAGCTTGGTGCTGGACCACTGTTCCTTAGGAAAGTTATTATCAATGACTGAGATTTCTTTTTTCCCAAAGTTCAGCTTGTTGAACTCTGCTTTTATTTCCATGATGGATTTCCCCTTGGTCTCAGGGAGATACAGGTAGATGAAAATTGCTGAGAAAGCAAGGATTCCCAAAAAGATAAGGAAGCAGAAGGGTCCAAGGTTATCCTGCAAGCAGAAATGGGAGACACTGTAAGGAAAATAAGAATCTCATTTCTGTTTCCCTGCCCTTGAGTGCAAGTCTGTATCCAACTAATTAAAATTCAAAGGTGTGCTTAATACAGAGTCCAGGGTGGGTGTCAAACCAGGAGTTTCCACAGGCCACATCTGACCTGAGTCTAATTTCTGCTCCTCTGACAGGCCTGGGGGATTCCTCAGCAGGTTTGGTATTTGGACAGAGCTCTAAGCTTTGCATGTCATTGCAATTTATTGCTATTAATTTGCTCTCTGTCAGCACTCAGAAGTGGATTAGCTGTGAGGGAGGGATCTAGTTAGAGCCACTTACAACAATCAGTGGAAAAATCATCCCAAGTACAAACAGTCCCATCCAGTTGATGCAGCCAACAATCAGGAAGGCTGACGGTCTGAAGGACTGGCTGAAGATTTCAACCATGACAGATACAGTAGCTCCAGCTGAAAAAGAGAAGCAACACGCAAACCAGGTATACTTGCTTCCTTGTTGCTGCCAAAGCCCCTCACAATGGCAGTGGTAGAAAATAACAGACAGGCAGAATAGGTGGCCTGGTGGCAAGTGGCCTTTGCTATGAGGGTGAAAGACCTTGATTCTGGAAAAGGACTACAGCTGCTTATTTAATTTTCTCTTGTACATACTGGAATCCTTTTTCTGGTGCCAGTGGATCTGTGCAGTTCTGTATTGCACTGGTAGCAATTATTGGTGTAGTAATTTGTAAAATGAGCTTCCCTTTTGGCTCCTGTGGTCAGTTCCACCTGAAGCATGTTGCTAGGCATAAAGCTTTACTAAGTTAATGAGGATGGTTACTATAACACACATGGCAATGCCTAGAATCCTGGGTTTAGAGGAGTATTTAAAAAATGGTCAGAAATTTCTCAAACCCTCTGGAGAAGATGATACTCTATTTTAAATTATTCAATCCTGTGATCAGCAATAACATTCAAGGTGTCTGTATCCATTTCCTGACCCCTACTTTTACAGGTCTCCCCTTTTTTCCTTAATTTCCAGAACTTTTTACTGTGGGACTAATCTGTTCTTCCTCTGCCAGTTGTGTCACTAACCAGTAGGATACAAAATTTCCTGCCATTGTTGCTGTTGATATACTCACATGGTCCAATTCCATAGAAGGTAACGAATAGGAAGATCAAGATGACACTGAAGTAATGCATCCAGAAAAACTGGTGCTAAAAGTGAGAAACCAGTGATATCAAACCATTAGATAAATGTTGGAAAAACAGAGCTCTGTATTTTCTGCCACTCACTCAAGTTTTTCTGCATATCCTGTGAGGCAAGACCAGAAAGGTGGGCTGATGCTAAGTAGGCAGAAGGCTGTTGCCTCTTTACCTGCAGTGACAGGGTCATGGTGAGGAGTGCTAGCACAGAGCCCATCAGTGTGTATCCTCCCCATAGCAGCACCTTCCTGCCAAATCGGTCTATGAGGGTGCTCTGAAAAGCAGAAAACACAGGTCATAAATCCCAGTTCTCAAATGAAGTCATTCCTGCACAGATCTAGTCCAGAATATCAGAAAATTATTTTACAGAATAAAAATGAGTCTAAAGACATACAGTCATGCAATAACCTGGGGAAAGAGCTCTCTCTTATCCTGCATGTGGTTTTACAGAAGCAGGAAGATGTGTGTTAGGTTATGCAAATCTGCCCTGAGCACAGTTATAAGTAAGGAAAGTACAACTGTTGACTAAGTGAAATTTTTCCATCAAACTCAAGTCTGAAAAGACTTACACACAGTATAGAGGATAAGCATTCACACAATCCAACTCCCAGGGACACGTATGGGATAAGGTATTCTTCAAATTTGGCTGTGTGAAATACTTCAAAAGAATAGAAGTATATCTGAAAAACGCAGAGAAGAAATGCACCTGTGAAAAAAGTGTTGCAATTGTGATGCAGTTCTAATCTGGCATAATAACATGGATTTGGAGGGGTTTGTAACACTGCCTAGTGTTGTCGCTTGCTCTGGGGATAAAGAGAGCACTCAACTGCATTGATTCCACAGAGCTGCAAGGTCGTCATGACAATAATCAAAATGTAGAGTTGCCAGCGCAAAGACCGCTCTTTTATTAATTCCAGGACACGCAAGGTTTTTGTGCTTGTCATTGCAACCTTCTCTTTCATAATGTCATCAATTTCTGCTTGATGGTCTCCTTCCCCCCAGAGCTTCCTGATGGCTGTTGGGGAGAAAAAGGGGAGTGGATTACTCTACCAGTATAGCTCCATCACAAGTGGTTACATTAAACATTTTAATCTGCCTGTCCATTGGCATAGGTGGTGGTTTGGTACTGTCTGCTCCTGGGGAAGTAGGCAAAAGGAAGAATTTTGTTTCACTGGGTTTTGGTATCACATGCTTCTAATTTGAGTTCACTTCATGTTGGGTTTAACCCCAGCTGCAACAAAGTACCATCTATCTGCTTACTTGCTCCCAGCTTCCCAGTGGGATGGGAAGGAGAATCAAAGAAAGGTAAAACTCATGGCTTGAGAGAAGAACAGATTAATATTTGAAGTAAAGTAAAATATAATGATGAGAATAATAATGAGGGTTGTTTTTTTAATAAGAAGAGGAATAAACCACAAGAAACATAAGTGACACACAATACAATTGCTCACCACCCACTGACTGATGCCCAGCTCATCCTCAAGCAGTGATCTGTGGCTCCCAGGCAACTCCCCACAGTTTATATATTAAGTATGATGTTCTATGGCATAGAATATCCCTTTAACTAACTTGGGTCAGCTGTCCTGCCTGTGCTCCCTCCCAGCTTCTTGTGCATCTGCTCACTGGCAGAGCATGGGAAACTGAAAAGTTCTTGATTAGAGTAAACACTGCTCAGCAACAGCTAAAACATCAGTGTTATCAACATTATTCTCTGACAACAGAGGAAACACTATTATACCAGCTACTAAGAAAAAAATTAAATCTATCCCAGCCAAAATCAGGAGACATAATTATAAATTAAGTAAACATTTAAGTACATTTTATTTAAAAGAGCTGTCTAAACCTTATCCTTTTAAAAATAATAAAGTAGTACCCGCTAAAGTGTGACATGTTAAACATGCCAGTACATTCCTATTTTTCCTGTCTTAACTGATTTGATCAGCCTGAATGAGGCCCCAGGTTAATACAGTGTATTGCCATAGGTGTCTCAGCTGTTTTATTTAGAGCTGCCTCTGCTATTCCTCCATGGCACTGCACCGTGCTGTAAATCTTTGCCCTTCTTTCTTGTCTGCTGCAGAGGCTGTCATTCTAACATATCAAATGAAGTGAAGTAAGTGTGGAAAGTAGACACTCTACCTTTCCTGCAGGCTTCCTCATTACCCTTCTGTATCAGGAGATAGGATGGTGAATCAGGGAAAAATGGGAGGATAGCCAGTTGAACCAATGCTGAAAGTCCACTAGATGCTAACAACCACGGCCACAAAGCTTCACTTCCTAAAATCTCCCTGAAAAGTGTATGTGAAACAAAAATATGCTGATATAATGGAATAAATGTTCAGGAAGTTTTTCTGAGTTATGAAAATTGCTTAGATTCCATTTGAGGGTGCAGTGGAGCAAAACTAGAAATTGATAATTTGCAAATTTCACAAATTTGGCTATTTTTATTTCTGACAATCTTAAAGGAATTATCTGGCATTTAAGAAAACTTACTAAGTATCATTAGGATCCAATGGAACATCTAGAGAACTTCTGAGACATATTTTACCAGGACATCTTGCTAAGACTTTTAATGTAAATGTAGTACATTTTGAAGGAAAACTCCTCTAATTGAAAGGATGTGGAGATAAGAAGAAATCAGATTCTGAGTAATTAATTTTCTGTCTCCTGTATGTAAAACTTTATGTTTGCATCAAATATGATCAAAACTTTTCCTCTGACATAAACTAAGGCCTGTTTTGGGGAAGGTGAGAGGGTTTCTTAGGCACAGATTAAGTTAGAGGGTGGGGTTACAGAAAGATTTCTATTACTTTTAGTTCAACCTGAGAGAAAGATTGGAAAATTTACCGTAGTCCAATAACCTGTCCCATGAATTTTCCTAGTGTCAGAAAAACAGCAACTGTGGAGTTGGTAAATCCACGCAGCTTCTTGGGTGAAATCTCTCCTACATACTGAGGATGTATATTGAGAGAAAAACCTTAAACACAGAAAAGGATAAATGACTGTTAAAAGATTTAGAAAAGCATAACTTCCTGACTACATCCTCTCTTACACTGTTCCCATTCACTCTGACATTTGGATTACAATTTCTTGCAAAAAGAATGGTGCCTTTAATTTCTATTAGGTGTCTAATGTATTTGCTTTAAAAGTCATTCTCCAAGAATGGTAACATCTGTAGAGACAATCCTGGCACAGCAAGGATGCTTGCAGTCTGTAGTGGCACAAGCACGTACCTGTACCAATGCCATAAAGAAAACGTCCAACCAGAATCATCTCAAAGGATTTGGCTGTTTTACTGAAGGCCATGAAAAGTGCAGCGATCAGCATGATCAGGTTGGTGCACATTTGGCACTTTTTTCTGAGGGAAAAAAAAACAACAAAAGAAGCCCATGAGAAATTAATTTGAAATGAGAACCCTTTGTACTCTTTTGACTGATCTTGCTGTGTGAGGATGCATAGAACAGCCATTGCTGGTTTGAGTAATGGCTGAAATAATTTTGATTTTGAATAGTCAAAATGATTCTTTAAAATTTCTAGGTCATTTAGATTTGAATTTATTCATATTTTTTTAGCTTAGAATTTAAACATTTGGAACACTTCATCAGCATTTCCACAGTACAAGTGAGGAAAGAGATCAAAGAATTGGCCCGTCCTGTGACCGAGATTTTTAAATGGCTGGAACTCCTTATAAAATGCCAGGTTGTTCCCCAGAAATAACCTGAGTCACTGGCTCCCATTCTGGAATGGCTCATATTAAAGACACTCTTGTCTAAATGGAAGTGATAGAAGGTGTTTTTAGAGACATATTTCAAAAGGCACTCTGTGTGAATTGTGGGCTGGGATGTTCACAGCACTGATGTATCAGACTCAAAGTCTTTTGCACTCACTTGTTTTGCCATGATGCTTGCTAGGCAAGAGTCCCCTTTCACACATTAAGGATTCACAGAGATCCTGTATTTGGAAGACTGTGATTCAGCAATTAGGTTACCAGGTGTTAAATAACCTATGGTAGAAGTGCATGATTTTGTTTCCAGTCTTGGGAGACCCTCTGAGCGTGGGATGAGGCAGTGTCCCACAAGAAATTTCTTGGGGGCACTTACCTGATAGGAAAGAACACAATTGCAGGCAGGCTAAGATGGTTTGTTGAGACCCATGAGGGGCCTCTGGATCAGTGGGTTGTGGAGCACATCTTTAAGTGGGTCACACCAAGTAGATATGTTTGCCAATTTCTCTGTAAATGAAATTAGTGGTGTTACACACAAAGCACTGAGAACAGAGTAGACTGGTAGGAATCCTTTCTCCATCCAGTGGGAAAGATAGTTTGGAACTGACTTTCAACAAAATGGACTGCCAAGAACAGAGAAAAATTCTCTTGGAGAATTTATGTTGGTGCCAATTGTATCTTTACAGCATAGTTACAGGCAATTTATTTTTTCCTATTCTCTTCACATTTTCATCAGATTAGATCTGAATATTTAATATAATTCCATCACCCCAAAATGAGTGTATTTAAATGGAAATCTGTCTTTTCTTTGACACTTAAGGATATCTTCCACACAGTGATTTCCAGGTGGCTAGAGTAACTGTGCATTGTGTTGCAAAACAAGACACACAGCTCTTTTCTGGGGGGTTGTAAAGTTTGGGGGATCTTGAGTCATAGGCGATCTTGAAGAGAACATGAGGCAGGTACACTATTCTGCTACTCCCAGAGGCACTGATCAGTGATGTGATGATGAATGCAACCTTTACAGAAACACAGTTCACTGGGGAGGCAGATGCAGAAGAAAGACTGCTTGCTACTTGGAAGAGGTGAGTGTACTAACAAACCCAAGCAGTTGCCTTCCATCAGGCTGCTTCAACCAAAAAAGGAGAGTTTTGTGTGTTTGCCTTGGTATTTCCCTGTACTTTCTGGCTATTGAGCTGTACAAGATGCACTTACTTCCTATATCTTGTAGTCAGGTAGCCACAGCAGAGGCTCCCCAGGAGTCCTCCAATCCCATAAACAGACACAATGAAGGACCACAACAGCATGATTGTCTCAGGATGGAGAGGAGAGCCATGTCGCTCTGTCCAGGTTTCATTAATAAACTTCCTGATGTGCTGAAAAAGAAAACGAGATTTGACTGGATAATGGGTATAAAATCCCATTATTAGTCTTATTTAGCTGTTGTACTTCAGGTGTAGCCTGTGCTTCTAATATACTGAACTAATTTTGAGACTAACTTTCTTAGTAAAACAAGTTAGCTGAAATCACAGTGCAAACCCTCGAGCTTGTATCAGTAAGGAAGCTTCCTGGGAAGCATGATAAAAGCACATTTTCTGCCTGCCTTTGGAGGCTTGTGTGCTACATGGTAAGAAGGTATTTAAAACAGAAAATGCTTTAAGGAGAAAAAGTACTCTACACGTTTGATGTTACTGTTAGCCAAAGAAAAGGCATCTATATCAATGCATCAGCTGAATGCTCAGTAAATTTGAGATTTGTGAGAGCCTGAAGAGCTCAGGCTTTTCATTTAGTGTTTTCAAATGTAGGGAGATGGCTACTTACCACAGAAGGATAGTTGATGACAGAAATGTGAAATCCATATGGGAAACTACCACCAATTCCCAGCACTAAGATCATTTGAACTAGTCCCTGGAACTGAACCTGCAAAGCAAAAATGAAATGCTCCATCAGCTTCTCATTTGTTTTCTTGAGGTATCTGTTGCCACTGGTCATCCATCCTGTTTCCAAGTGCCTACAAGGCTAGGTGTAGTTATCCTTAAACAGTTAAGAAGGTACCCAGCAAACGAAACCCAGGACAATTGTGATTTTAGCCCCATCAGGATCTGTGCAGGGTTCTTTGGGGTTTAACTGTCTCTTCCTTTTTAGTCAGCACATCACAGGCCAGGACAGTAGCATCACCTCTGTAGAGAGTGTGTTCTGTGTTCTTTTCATGTCACATACTAACTTCATGAGCTCACAGCTTTTTGGAGATCGGTGCCTGGATAAAGAGGAGCTGGTAAAAAATGCAGTCAGTCAGGAATAAAGTAATGCAAATGTGAGTAGTGCTGGGCTGGGAGATACTTAGGAAAACATTCCTTTACTTGTTCTTAGGTCCATATTTCAAGAGCCTGTGACTTAATTAGTCCACAGCTGGATTCCAAAAGTTATTACATGACAAGAATCAATAGGCTGTGACAAGAAGACTCTGAATTTCCTTACAGGTGCTGTCCCAAATGCAATGGATTTCCTAATTGGCAAAAGCATCAAACAAATGACGAACTCACCCTCTCACTCTTCATTTTCTATTCTGTATAATAGACATACAAATTAACAATTTTGATATTTAAAAAGGAAAGTAAAATAGTTTCTTCCTGGCAGTTGTGAAATAGAGCAAGAAATGCTTGTCACTTCTTCCCTTTTTAAGACTTCATTAATGATATTAAGTATCTTTGTATGAAATGAGGGAAGTCAATTATGTTAATGCGTATGTCATGATTTCTTAGTCTTTTGAAGTACAGTTAATCTATTCCTTACTTTGGGAAGTTATCAGAGCACTCACTAATTAGTATTGTTTTCAGTAATTCACAAGACAACAGTAAAGTAGCATTGTGAGTGCTGCAACTGCCAGACTTTTATTTCATTTTATTTTATTTTACTTTATTTTACTTTATTTTATTTTATTTTAAATGTTGTTGCATTAAACAGACCATGCAACATGATTTTCATGGCCCCAAGCCGCATTGTTCTTGTTGATGTTTAAACACAGAGAACAGAAAGATGTTCTCTGTACCAAAAGAGTTTACAATCTTTAAGTAATCTGGATTTTTAGTATGATGTTAGTTTTGTCTTTTATAAGTCAGAACACTGAGAAAAAGTGAGCAGATACTCACCAGCTCAGAGAAAAAGGTGGCCATCTCCTATGAAAAAGCTGATTCGTGCTGCTTACTATGACCTGCTAAAAGAACCAAATGTTCACATTATGCAATAGCAGTGTCCGTGAACTAGTCCCACGTTATTGAAGTTAAATTTTACTTCAGAGGTTTTTGAGTTAATGATACATATTTCAGCTGTTGTACAAAGTTTAGAATTGTTGGATTAAATATTTCAACCAGTGGTTGTGTCCAGCCCAGTAAACAGGATGGTTTCCCTTGTGGGGAACCTGTATATTTCATGAGCCCTGTCTTGTGCTAGGGGCCAGGGAACTGAGACACCAATTCTAAACAGAATTTCAATGATCATGATCATAACTTGCTTAGTTTTCAGTACAAGCTGAGAAGCATGAAGGCAAAGTTATCTGTTGGGAATTTAGATGGGGCTTGAACAGTGAACTATAGGACTTTGATATATAATAGGAAAGAGCAATTCTCCCTTCATGTGACGGCAACTGGAGCACATGGTAACTTAATCATTACTTAAAGGAATTGAAATGCTCCATCATTTTGGAATGAGACGCAATATGAAACAAATTACACAGTGGCACACCAGGCTTGAGCAGCTACATATTTAATAGTAGGTGATTTTCGTTGCTAGGAGAGAAAGATTCAACCTTATGCAGTTTTGTCTGGCATTTCTGTTAGCTGGCGTCTTTGAAGAAAAAAGGAAATGCATTGAAGCTGTCCTTTAACTTACATAGCTGGATTGATGTCTCTCCCTTCAGACAGAAAATTCCCAAGCTTTAACTTCATTTATTGCAGAATTAGGAGGGGTTTGTATGTATTAAGTTGGTAAATGGCTTATTGATCATTTGCCATTTACACTTCAGTTAAAGAAAAGGATAAAGAGATCATAAAGAGCTTACTGTATTGGATGCCAGTAGTTGTATTTGATAGAAAATACATGACATGCAAAGTATTCTGTAGCTAATGTCTGGATTGTAGCAGGTAGCACCACCTGACCACTTGTCCCATCATTATGTGGTCCTTACCATGAAGCTTTGTTAGTGTGTGCTGAGAGTTCATAGCATTTTCTTTTTCCAGATTTGGTTCTTCAGCAGATAAGATGTTGGAGCACAAACAAGACTGTAGACTGGCCCTTTGATGCTAAGAATTAATTTCCTTTTCTGTAAAGTCATACAAAATTGAAACAACCAAATGTGCATCTGACAAAGGAAGGAAATGCCATGTTAGCTGCTAGTATCTGCCTTGCTTGGATGATATTGGGGAAAGACAGAAGCAAGCAATAATACATAGGTACAAGTGTGGGTCATTCCTTCAAACAATGCACATATTTCCTTATGTTCTACTTAACTCACTTCTATTTAGTATACTTTATGCATATAGTTACTTCTGTTCTTTGCCCTTGTACCTTAACTTCGGATTCCTATTTTGATAGGTTAAGAGTCTTCCTCCTGTAATGCTCTTTATGCCTAATGTCTTTTGCATTTGCATTGATTGGTTGCTGTGGTGCTTCTGTGCTCTTATTACTTGCACTGTGTTGAGGCCACCTTCATTAGATATGCTAATTAGTGCTAATTATGATATTATGCTAATATCATAATTAGTGCTAACAAGTTGTTAACAGATATCTTACAGATACCCTGTAGTTCTAATTGTGATCAGGATAGGAAATCTTACAACATCAGGTAATTTACCTTGCAGTTTTACGGTCACATGTAACACACATGCAAAGCTGTGCTAATCTTCCTTAATACAGGCTGGCTAGACCAGGTGTATGGGTTTTGTGTGTAGCTGACAGCAGATCCAGTTTGTAAGTGTTTATATTTGCCCCAGTTAGAGCCAGTATTTGAGACATATCTTACCTATCAGCTAATATCTCTGGCAGAAAATGTCCATGTAGTGTTCCCAAAGCTCCTGTATGGCTGTATTCTTTATCACCTCCCATGTGTAGTTGAACTACCTTTTTGCTGTTTCATTCCTTGACCAGGCGGTTACCAGAATACAGTTCTTGCTCCACTGAGCACAGGCGAAGGCTGACCTGTGCTCCTAATAGCTGTTCCGCTTTGTTGTCACATTAATGTTGCATAGGGCATCTGCTCGCTTCTTGTGAAGATCTTATGGGAAAGGCTTTCCTAATGACATCTAATGAATAACTGAGATCAGAGAAGTGGCTCACTAGAGAGTCACTCCAGCAATGCTATACAATAGCATTCTGCTTACATTTCCAAATAATTCAGGTGCTGTTGTAATGGAATGAAGGATGTTTTCAGCATGACTGGTTAGGAAAAGAGAATTCTGTTCTGCAGTTGTTGAGATTTCCTTTTGATATTAGCAATTGTCTCCAAATGACTGTCATGTCTTTATCATGTTATATGTATATGGAACACTACAAAATTATTGAGCTTTTCTGACTTTAAGTCTTGTAGTGAGAAATCTTAAGTGCCCCTCAATCCTAAAGACAAAGGAATAATGAAAAACCCTGATCATGGGAGGGTAAGCACACCAATAACTTTTTAGTAGTTGGGTGTTCCTAAGGGAGATCCTGTTGTTAGGAAGGAAATATTTATGGAGGCCAGAAGTTTTATCGCAAGGCAATTTGCCATCTTTATTATGTTTAACATTTCCGGTTAAAAATAAGCAACAGTTATGATGAATAATTGAATTCATATTTTGAATTACATTATTGAAGTAAATATGCCTGTCAGAGCAATACCACAGATTTTAAATTGTTTAGTGTGCTCCACTGTGAGCCTTTGTTTTATTCATGTTCTTCCTAATAGTATTACTTTGCTACCAGGACTGTGTGAAGGAAATGCATGCAATATTAGACACTTTATAAAGAAAGGAAAAGTCCCATGAGTTTGAACAGTTAAAAAAATAAATCTGGTGAAATGAATCCATGTGGTACTTCACAAGGTCACACTATCCTGTAAGGCCTACAAACAAGGAATTTCTCTCCTATTTCACTGAGCTTTTTCTTGAATCTGTACCTTAGCCAGAGATGGCAAGCCAAGAACATCACTATTCTGATTTCAGGGTTGTAAAAACACAGAAATCAGAGGGAGAGACTGGGGATCACAGGTATTCCCTTTCTCTGTGGTCAACAGAGTGTTTATCAGTTCTACATGTACTTTCAGTGTGTATGAGTTGCTGTCTTGAGAAGAGATTTACACCTCAGCATGTTAAGCCAAAATGCTTGTAATTCACGTGAGTCTATCCTGTTAAGATCAGCCATCATCCTTTTTCTAAACTGCCCAGGATGGAGTGCTTGAGAAAGGTTCTGGTTGGGCAAAATGGGAGCCTTATAAGTGACAGATGCAATAGCTGACAGTCCACTTAGACCAACTTCTAGTCCGAAAACAATTGTCTGTTTTTTCCCTTCATTTTAAGATAGCCTTACTGCCTACAACAGCTGGTCAGAGCCTGGTGCAGAAGGTGTAGTCCTCTGTGACATGGTTCGGAGTTGTTGGAATATACTTCTTTCTAAAGTTTAACTTATTGAATTCTTCTGTGATTTCCACAATTGATTTCCCTTTCGTTTCTGGAAGGAACAGATGAATAATTGTCCCTGAAGTGAAAATTACTACCATAAAGATGAGGAAGCAGAAGTGCTTGAGTTTTTCCTGCAGGGAAAAGCAGAGTAAGAAAGAGAGCAATATCAGCATGTCTTTTCTTTTGCACTTTCTTTGCACAGTGTTTGTATTTGGGTCCCAAAGTACTTTGAATTGGGCAAGGAGCTCTTTGCATTTTGACCTTTGACAAATATTTCAGTCTGAATAAGTATCTTGAGCAAATCAGAGCCCTTCCATTGCAGAAGTGGACTTGGGAGAGCAGATGCCAAGACCCCTCTAGACTGACATGGCACTGGCATTTCGTGCTGCTCTTCTTCTTGCTCCAGGGGCCAACTCAAGCTTAGTGCCTATTGAAGTATCCCAGGGAAGGTGACTCACCACAATGAAGGGGAAGGTTGTTCCGATCACAAAGACGCCCAGCCAGTTGAGAATGGCGCCGATCACAAAGGCAGATGGTCTGCATGAGAACTTGAAAATTTCAACCCTAACGGAAACTGTGGCACCAGCTGAAAGACGAAGCACAATAAGAATGATGTATGTTGCTCTGTTTTAGAAAAGAAAATGTTTGTGTCATTTTATAAACTGCTACACATCAGGTTTGTAAAGTGATCCAATGTTCAAATACATTTCTTGTGGAGATTCAAGAGTGAAATAGTTAACACGTGAGGAAGTCTGACATATTCTTGTGAAAGAAGCTGTGTAAGGGTAGAATTACTATTATTTCTAACAAGAATTCCCAGGATGGTACTGCTAGATCACCAATGAGTGATCTTCCTAGATTCACTTCCTGGTTATTTCAGTCATGTTTTGGAGTCACAGGACATTGGCAGCTTTCAGTTAAGAAAATAATTCAACCCTACTGTATGGGAAGGCAAATATTTTGAAAGTGAATAGGCTTTTAATAATATTTTTAAAGAGGAGCAGGTTTTGCACTGCTGAATATGTGAGACAAGTGGTGATATTGTAGAGCACTGGATTTTAAAGAACTCTTACTTTTCTTTTTCTCTTTCTTTTTTTTATGAGTATTAAAAAACCCCAAACAAACACATCTGCTTTTGCTCTATTTTTGCTGTATTTTTCCAGTGAGTAATTTCTGCTGTGTTCTTTTCCTCTTGTTAGCAAAACACGAATCTGATGGCATTGAAATTTATGGCCAATGATTGGACCCATAATGTTTAAATGACTACAAGAGGAGGTTAAATTAATTTACTTATGCTAAACATTATGCAAGATCATGCAAGATTTTCCTAGCCATATTAATAACTCCCCTGACTCTATTTCTTCTGAATGAGCACTTACCCGGCCCAACTCCAAAGACAATTGCGAACAAGATAATCAGACAAAGGCTGCAGTATGGCATCCAGAAATACCAGTCCTGGGGAAAAAATCCAATGCATAACAAACTTTGAGTGAAATCTGTTAATAGGTGAGAAGTGCTGCTTGTTTTCCAACACTGTAACCACAAGAGAAAACATACAATGTGTGGGAAGTGGCAGAGAAATGTGAGTGCTTTTTCCCGTGGATGGAGCAGTGAGGTTTTTATTAGGTGAGCAGAGAAGCAGGTTTGCTTGTGCAGAG